CCCTTCCCCGGCGCCCGCCCCCCACCCCGCGCCCCAGGTGAGCCCCGGGTCTCAGGTAAGGCTCCGCGATGCAGGTAAGAGCCCCTCGGCATAGACGAGGTTCGGCGTCCCCAGGTAAGAGCTCCACCCCCCTCGATGACCCTCCAACCTCGGGGAGGCCCCAGCCTTCTCCGGGTGCGGGACCTTTCCCCCAGGTGAGCTCCCTGTATGGTACTTGCAGTCGCCCCCCAGCTCCGCCCTCCGCAGTTCAGCTGAGGTCCTAAAGACCATCCAGTTCCTAGCCCCTTCCTGCTCCCCTAAACAGAGCTGACAGCTCATCCACTCTAGAGCCCCTTCCTCCAGTTTCAGTTGCCAGGTCAGCTGGGGTGAGGCTGAAAGCGGGTGGGTGACTCATCTTGGGCTCCTCCTAGCCTCAGTTTCCCCAATGATGCAACCTGAGGCCTCTTCAGTGACTCAAAACTGAGCCAGTTCTGGCCCCTGGAGAGGCTGCTGGCTCTGGGGAGAGGAGACAGCAGCCAAGTGTGACACTGAGAGAGTCCCCGTGGCCCTGGGCGTGCCTGCCTGTGTGTGGCTGGGGTCCTGACCGCACACTCACTCCCTCCCCAACAGGCACTGGGCTCCCTCTGCTCTCCGTGGGCCGCTCCCCGCGTGGGGCCACTGCCCCTGGCCCCCGCCATGGTGCGGATTTCAAAACCCAAGACGTTTCAGGCCTACTTGGATGATTGTCACCGGAGGTATAGCTGTGCCCACTGCCGTGCCCACCTGGCCAACCACGACGACCTCATCTCCAAGGTAACCGGATCATAGCTGGGGCTGGAATGGGAGGCTTGAGGGCTGCTTTGGCAGCTCCCCACCAATAACCCTGACCCCCTCTTCTCTCCCTTCCATCCTTCAGTCCTTCCAGGGCAGTCAGGGGCGTGCCTACCTCTTCAATTCTGTGTGAGTATTTGGCCTCCTGTCTTTCTTTTCCTGACCTCTGTTGTGACCTGTGACCCATGGCACCATGCTGAGACTCCCACAGCCCCCTGGTTCAGGCAAGAAGCTAAGGACAGACACAGTTGGATCCAAGCTAGAGTTGAGCTTTGTGATGGCGGGACCCTCCCTGGGACTGCCCCTATGTCCCCACAGGGTGAACGTGGGCTGCGGGCCAGCCGAGGAGCGGGTGCTGCTGACAGGCCTTCATGCTGTCGCTGATATCCACTGCGAGAACTGCAAGACCACTTTGGGCTGGAAATATGTGAGTCAGTGACCTCTGACCCCAAGCTAGCTTTTGACATGACCTCACATCACAAGCAGCCATCGGATAGTCTTTCAGAGTGTCTGGGCCCAGCTCACACAAGCCCAACAGTCTTTTCATCCCCTCACCATGTTTTCATCTCTGACATCAGACAAAGGCTTTTTTTTTTTTCTTCTCTCAACCCATCCATCTCCTCACAGGCACAAGCACCCCATTTTAGAGATGTTGATATAATCAGAATTACCATTTATTGCCAAAAATGCTTATTGTTATGTGCATCACAGCCATAATTACAACAATCCTATAGGTAGAGTCTACTTTCTCTTCACTTTACAAAAGAAGGAAGCCCAGAGATGTTAGGTAACCTGCCCAACGTCACACATCCAGCAAGTAACATAATAGGGACCAGAATCCCACTTTGTTTTGTTTTTAACTCCAAACCCTTGACCCCAACTTCTGTTACCATTCAGAGGGTCAGAGAGGTTGCCCAAGACCCCACAGCAGCACCGAGCTTGGGTCCATGTGCCTCCTTTTCCACTGCCCTCCTTACCACTGCTGCTGTCCAGGGTCTGATTTCACTGCCCCGAGTTGCATTTCCTTACCTGGCAGTGGAGGATAAAGCCACCACTTGGCACCCAAGACTGTTATGGAGATCAGATTAGATGCAGCAGCAGAAGATGCTCTTGGGAAACTGCAGCTGCTTGGGGCTGTGGGGCCTCGGTGATGTGGATGCCCGAGGCAGGCAGACAGGCAGCCCTGACCAGAGTTCTCTCCTGGCCCTGCCACACATTTGTTTTGTGTACCTGTGCAGGTGGCTTGGACTCCCTGGAACCTTGTAAAACAAAGAGGTGGCCAGTGTAGAGGTCAAAATCTCAAGTGCTTGCAGGGCCAAGCAGATACTGGGGATCTGCAAAAGGGGCAGCATAGATTGGAGGCAAAGGGAGAGGCAGCCTGTGCCATACTGGAGGCAGCACAACCTGCCTCTGTGTTAGTAATTCAGTTATTTCTATTAAATTCCCTGCTGGCCAACAAACACACGTGTAGGCCAACACTGGCACTCAGGCTACCAGTTTGTAACCCCTGGGTCTTGTAGACACTTACCTATCCTCATTGTTGGAGCCATCATGAGCGCTTTATAAAGTGCCCACTATTCAGGGAGTTCTGTCTATCCCACGTGAGAAACTCGACCCTGCCACCTACCAGCTCTGTGTCTGGGGGCAGATGGCTTGGCTTCGCTGGGTGACGGCTTCCTCAGATATGAAATGGGGCCAGTCATATCCATGCCCCAACCTCTATCCCTGCTGGTTAAGGCCCTTGCTCCAGGGATGACAGGCTCTCCCCTCCTTTTAGGAACAGGCCTTCGAGAGCAGCCAGAAGTACAAAGAGGGGAAGTACATCATCGAACTCAACCACATGATCAAAGACAACGGCTGGGACTGACCCCCACTCTTGCCTCATGTGGCTCCAGCCCGGCCTGGCCGCCAGGGGGCGCCACTGGCTTCCCTTCCCTGCCGGAAGGGAGCTCCGGACCCGCAGAGCCCTGCAGAGGAAGGACTCGGCTCCTGTACATATATTTTATTGCATGCACTGTGACCTTGGGGGGAGATCAGAAGGTGGGACACCACCACCCCCACCTCCCTGCGATCTGGCTGGCTTGGATCTCATTTTTTAACCTCTTCCCGCCCCGCCTACCCCATCGATATGGCCCTGTGTGCTGTTCTCTTAGCCCAGTGCAGCGTCTGCCCTGTGAACTCCTCCCACTGGGCGCCTCTTACCGCACGCGTGTCCCCTCCCCTAGTTCTGTAGCGTTTGTATATAATAAAACAATGAAGCGGAGACAGCCCCAGGCTTATGTGGAATCGGGGAGGGGGAACTCAAGTGCAGAATCCTGCCTCTATAGACCTGTTCCCATCTGAGCCCCAGTGGGGCAGCAGGTAGGTAGGCACCGGCTAAAGGTGGGAGTCTGCGCTCCTGGGGCCTGGCCTCAGCCATCTTCTCTAGGACCCGGGACAGGTCTCACTGCCCGGGATTCCAGAGCCCCCCCTGGCTCCCTAGACCTTGATCTCGGTTGATCGTCTTCTCAACCTTAGCGTTTTGCCACCACCCAGCGGCCCCCGCGGCATCTCTAGATCTTCTCTGCGGCTAAGTTGGCGCTGGGTCTGCTGGGAAGTGTAGTTCCCAGGGCTCCCCAGCACGGGACCTTCTGAAAAACCCAGGCAGCAGCCGGCTGGGGGCTGTAGAGCTGTGGAGACCTTTAACTTTTGAGACTTGAATGAAGGTGGAGAATGAAAACCAGGAAGGGCTCCAGGGTTCGGCCCCTCGGCTGCGGACTCCAGTGCCCTGCGTAACAAGATGCTCAGGCCCCATCCCTCCAGCCGGCTCATTCCCTCCAAGCCCCATCCTCCCAGTGAGGGTGGTGGGGGTCACCTGCTAGGTGTCTGAGCCGCCAAGGTCTGCCCCAGGACTCCAGGCTCCAGCCCCTCCATCCCAGGGTGCAGGCCCCGCCCCCTCAGTAGCTTAGCCCTAGCTGGGGCTCCCCCCGTGGGAACGGGGACCAGCTGGCCGGAAGCGCCAAACTGCGTCCCTGTCCAAGTGCCAGGGATCAATCAGGCCGAGGAGTTAATTATGTAATGAGGGGCAGGGGGTCGAGGCTAATGAAGCCTGCGGGGGAGGGTGCCCAGGTATCCGGCCCCTCTTGTACCCCTTCCAGGCCCCAGGGGTCTCCACCCCAGCCCAACTCCAGGGCCCCAAAGAGGGAGGGGCTGTGATCCTGGGTCTGGAAGGGGCTGAGCTGTGAGCTATAAAGGGGGCATCTCCCAGCACCAGGGGACTCTAGGCAGCCAGACCTGAGGCCAGACAGGACTACTCCATGTATCACCCAAGAGAGCTGTACCCCTCCCTGGGGGCCGGCTACCGCCTTGGGCCCCCCCAGCCAGTGACCGATTCCAGCTTCCCGCCTGCCCTGGCAGAGGGTTACCGCTACCCCGGTGAGCTTTGGGAGGAGCTCCTCTGTAGGGACTGAGGGTTGCTGTGGACCTGGGCTGGCTCCTCATTCTCCCCCCATCTCCAGATTTGGACACTCCCAAACTGGATTGCTTCCTCTCCGGGATTGAGGCTGCTCCCCGCACCCTGGCGGCTCCCCCACCTCTTCCCCCTCTGCCCCCAGCCCTGGGCACTGAGCCGGCTCCTCCAGCCCCAGAGGCCCTTCACTCACTCCCTGGAGTCAGCCTGAGCCTGGAGAACCAGGAGCTGTGGAAAGAGTTCAATTCTGTGGGAACAGAGATGATCATCACCAAAGCTGGGAGGTGAGGGGGCTGGGCCAGGGTCAGAGGACCCAGTGTGTTCCTGGTGGGGGGTCTCTGGGAAAGGCAGTTCCTGGTGATGGGGCTAGTTCGAGGGTTTCTAGGGGGCTTGAGCTCTGCCTACGTTCAGAATGTGATTGTGGTCTGGGCCAGGGGTTACTCAGTGACCGATCATGGTCATGTTGTGGCAAAGGCCTGTGGCTGGTTTAGGGACCAACCTAAGGCAAGAGTCATAGGTCAGTCTGGGCCCTGTCCAAAAAGTCTGGCTGGATTATAGCTTAGTATGTGGCCTAGATCAAGGGGTCAGTCTATGGCTGGAGTTGGGCTTCAGACTATAACTAGAGTCAGGGGCCAGCCAGTGACCGGCATCAGGGAAGTCTGGCTAGGATCAGGGTTAGCATTAAGGTTTGTCAGCACATGACTAGATCCGGGGTCGCCTTGGAGGCAGGGATATGGTCAGTATGTGGCCTTGTGGAGCTCCTTATCTAGGCCAGGAACTCGGGCCCTGGCATGGTATCTTCTCCATTGAAAGCAGGGTTGGGATGTGTGTGTGTTTGGTTAATCCTCACCAGAGGACATTTTTTCCATTGACTTTTAGAGTGGAAGGGGTAGGGAGAAACATCAATGGTTGCTGCCTCCCACATGCATCCTATCGGGGCTGGGGATCCCCCTTTCTTTTTCTTTCTTCCCTGAAGCAAGTTTGTCCAGTGCTGTAGATTATGGTGCTGGAGATCAGGTGAGATCCTCAGGGTGGAGAGCAAAGAGGCTCCTGGCAAGATTTCCAGGAGAAAAGTGTGACAGTGTCTCTCCGCTTCTGCAAATGGAGTTTGAAGGGCCCAGAGTCAGGATTGCAAGGTCTGCTTCAACCTTTGTGACCCTGATCAGATCGGATCACCTAGCCTGTCTCTCGTTTCCTATCTATAAAATGGGATGGAACAAGCTTCCAGGCCCTCCCCTCAGTTCTAACTCCAGCTCGAATGTTCTCTGACAAAACTGAGCTGGTGGCTCTGCCCCCTTGTCAGCACTGTGCCTGCTTGTGGCTGCTGGGTAGCTCAAGGCACTCCTGTCTTCTTTCCATCCAGACGCATGTTCCCTGCTTGTCGAGTGTCAGTCACTGGCCTGGACCCTGAGGCCCGCTACCTGTTCCTTCTGGATGTGGTGCCAGTGGACGGAGCTCGCTACCGTTGGCAGGGACGGCGCTGGGAGCCCAGCGGCAAAGCCGAGCCCCGCCTGCCTGACCGTGTCTACATTCACCCTGACTCCCCTGCTACTGGTGCCCACTGGATGCGGCAGCCTGTATCTTTCCATCGGGTCAAGCTTACCAACAGCACACTGGACCCTCATGGCCACGTGAGGCCCAGGCTGGGACCCCAGGCTGGAGGTTGGGGTTGGAACCCAGGGCTAGGGGTCACTTCTGTTTCTTCCCTCCCAGCTGATCCTGCACTCCATGCACAAGTATCAGCCCCGCGTACACCTAGTGCGGGCCGCACAGCTTTGCAGCCAACACTGGGGGGGCGTTGCCTCCTTTCGCTTCCCTGAGACCATGTTCATCTCTGTGACAGCCTACCAGAACCCACGGGTGAGTGACCCTGCTTGAGCGGGGTGGGTGGTGGTACCCTGCCTCAGCTGCAGGAGCTTTGACTCTGGATATGTGCCCCCAGATCACACAACTGAAGATTGCGGCCAACCCCTTTGCCAAAGGTTTCCGGGAGAATGGCAGAAACTGTAAGAGGTGAGCACCGTTCGTTCATTCACTCATTCATTTACCAAATGTCTATTAATAGACATTTAATGGTAAATAAAAACATTTATTGAATGAATAAAAACATTCATTCATTCATTGATTCAACAAATACTTATTTAGCACCTATGTGCCAGGCACAGTGCTAGGCACTGGAGAAGCATCAGTAAAGAGGACAAATGAAAGCCCTGTCCTCATGGAACTAATACACTGGTGGGCAAAGTAGACAACTAAACAAGAGCAGTGATATATATTAGGGGTAAGTTCTAAAGACAAAACCAACAGTGTAGGTATTTATTAGATAAGAGGCCTGGAAAGGCCTCACTGAGAAGAGACCTTTGAGAAAAGACTAGACAGAAACGTGGGAGGGAACCATGTGGATATGTGGGAACGGCATGCTGAGCGTGGAACCAGCATGTGCAAGGGCCCTGAGGTGGGAACACACCCAAGAATGGCGAGAGAGGTGGAGACAGATTATGTTAAACAGTAAAGGGTTAGTTAGGACTTTGGCTTTTATTCTGAGGACAGCCCCCTGAACTGGTCCGTGCCTTCAAGGCAGAAGAGACAGACATCTATCAAGATTACCCTAACAAATGTAACAGTGTAACTATTACAAATGTTACCAGGGAGGGCTGTTGTGCTGTGGGTGGTCAGACGACCTCCTTGAGGAAGTTATGCCTGAATGGAGACAAGGATGAGTTAAGCAGGTGAACAGGGGACAGAAGAGAAGGCTGAAAGGCAGCTAGTGAAGATGGCCAGAGCAAGGAGGGATGAGCCTCGTAGCTTGGGAAGAAGTTTCCATTTATTCTAAATGCAACAGGAAACCACTGGAAAGTTCTAAGTGGGGAATAAGTACCAGCTTTACTACTTTCTAGTTATTTAATTCTCTGGCCTTTAGTTCCTTCATCTGAAAAATGGGTATAGTATGAAACCTGGTAGGGTGAATGTCTAGCACCTGGTAAGTGATATCATCATCACCATCATCACTGTCTTTCCCAGGGAGCGAGATGCCCGTGTTAAGAGGAAACTGCGGGGCCCAGAGCCAATAGCCACAGAGGCCTATGGGAGTGGAGGTGAGTACTGTCCCCATGGTGATTGGGCCGGGCCTGAGGTGCTGATCTCCCTTCGCCCAACCTGGTTCTTCTGTCTCCCGAGATGCACCAGGTGGTCCCTGTGACTCCACCCTGGGTGGGGATGTTCGCGAGTCAGATCCAGAACAGGCGCCCGCGCCCAGGGAAGCTGCCCCTGCCCCAGCTCCTCTGTGTGGTGGCTCCAGTGCTGAGGCCTACCTTCTGCACCCTGCAGCTTTCCATGGGGCTCCCAGTCACCTTCCAACCAGGTGAGTGGGACCAGGGCACAGACTGGGCTGTTCCCGTCTGGGGGTCCCTCTCCAATGTTCTGACACCTTTTTCCACTTCAGGAACCCCAGCTTCCCTCAGGCTCCAGACTCGGGGCGCCCAGCCCCCTATTCAGCTGCATTCCTAGAGCTGCAGTCTGGGCCAGGAAGCTCAGGATACCCAGCAGCTGCACCCCCAGCACCCTTTGCCTCACATTTCCTCCAAGGGGGCCCCTTGCCCTTACCTTACCCTGGGGCCTATCTGGATATGGGGTCCAAACCAATGTACTGAGCCACTGCCAGGCCCCTCTGCCTCCCTCAGTCTTCCATTACAAATTCCAGTTCCCTTCCCCCAGGCCGTAGCCCCCTCACTTCCACTGACCCCATCCCCCACACCAAATGGCTGCCTTGGGCCTCCTCCACCCCACTTCACACTTCGACTTCATTCCCACCCCCCTCTGGCTTCAAAGCTCTGGCTAAGCTGCTGGGAGTCCAGCTGGGGCCAGCTTCCCCTCCAGGCTCTCACCTCTGTGCGAAGAGAGGGAGGTTCTGCCTGGCCAAATGGGGCCTTGGACCAGCACCACCAACTCCTGGCTTCACCCTTGGGCTCAGCTAGTCATTATCTCCGTGCCCCAGTGCGAGCCACACCAGAGTATTTTTGTTAATAAAACTCGAAAGACATCAGTGCTCCGGAAACATTGGGCTAATGGTGTTTGGCCCTGGGAGGGACTGGGTGAGCAAAGGTTTTGTGGGGAGACCCTGGCCCCTGATCTAGACTTGCCATTCCCAACTGCTTGATCTTGTGTGTGTAAATCCACTTGCTCAGGGCCTGGTTCCTCTTCAAGACAACGGGGAAGCAATGTCCTGACACTCACTGTTCTGAGAATGACACAGGCCGTCTCTGAGGGCCGGCCCTCTACCTCGCGCTCAGGAGCGGTCACTGCCAGTGGATGGATCAGGAGGCTCTGGGCAGGTGAGCTGGCCTGCGCCTCACCTTTCTGGTGGGGTCGTCCCAGGTCCCAGGCGGCAGCACTACTCATCCCCAATCAAGTCTGACACAAATCCAAAGACTGTAGTTCTTCTATTAGAATTTTTTCTTTTTCTCAAAATTTTTATCTAAAAACAAACCAAAAAAAATGAAAAAAAGAAAAACAAAAATTATTGGAAACTTCATGGTTCAGGTGGGGAGAAAGGAGGAGCATGGAGCTCAGGCTCCGAGCCTCTCCAGAGAAAGTCCTCACCCTCGAAGTGCCCTCTTTGAGGGAGAGCAGAGCTGGGGACAGCCCCCCATGCCCAGCCTCCATCTGGAGAAGAGGGTAGAGTCACAGTGGTCCAAGGGCCAGAGGGACTGGAGGGGGTGGGAGGCAGGGGACAAAGGGGTCACAGGAAGTAGTCGGCCACAGGCTTCTTGGAGGGGATGCCCCGCGTCTCTTGGGGAGCGGCCTCAAAGATGATAAAATCTTTCTGGAGATGCTCATCCAGCTCCAAGATGGCTGCCACATTCCCACAGCTGCAAGTCGGAGGGCGAGGGTGACAGTTAGTGTGTGTCAGCCTAGATCCCACCCCACCGTGACCTCCTGACCCAGGCAGCTCACCGGTAGCAGTAGTTGGGTGCCGACCACACAGTGAGCACAGTCTCATTGAAGTGCTACTTGTAACCTTCCATCACCAGTTGGTGGGCACGGCAGATCATGTCAGTGTTGTTGGCTGCATTGAACTGAGCCACCACGTCACTGCCAAATAGGTAGCCAGCCCCACGGGGGCTCACACCCCAGCCTGTTGTATCTGAGGCAAATGAAGGCAGAGATGGAGAGAGGTGTCCTCAAGGCATCTGACTGCCCACTGCCCTTCGAAGGAGAATATCCTGCCCCCTCCCCGAATCAGGCCCGTGGGGCAAGAGGACAGGGCCTGATTGTATTCTGCGGGTTCTGGGGGCCAGGGCGGCAAATGTTGAAGCAGGGAAGCTCCAATGATGAGACTTTCCTGATAGTTGGAGCCACCTCAGTTGGAGTGGCCATGCATTACTGTCCAACTAGGTGCACAGGGGAGTGAAAGGAGGTGCTTCTAAGAACCACGCCGCATGCAGGTGTGAGCAAGGGCTGCACAGCTAGCCTGGGAGCTGAAACAGGCATTCGGGCACAGCAGGGGGAGAGTGGAGACTGTCTGATAGCAGAAGGAGCCCCGGATTGGTACCTAGGTTTCAGCCTCAGCCCTGCTCCATACTAGCTCAGGAACTCCCCAAATGAGGGGTTCTCAGGGGCCGATCACTGTAAGCATTTGACCTCTGCAAAAGCCCCTTCGCATGCAGGGTGCCCATGATTTTGTCCTAAACAAGCCTCTGATACACAGACCCTAATTCCGCCCGAGCTCAAAGCACCCAGCTCCCCATGCCCCTGCTCTGAGGGTGCCAGCCAGGCTGCAGGTCACGGACAGACGCCCGCTCTACTCTTCCCCAAACGTGCCTGGTCTCAGTGTCCTTTCGAGGTACTTGCTTTAACCAAAGGGCTCAGTGTCTCAGCAAACTAAGGCTAAAGCCTGGCTGCCCGGCCCCACCTGCCCTCACCTTCAGGGTCAGACCAGAGCAGGTCACACATGGGACCATCATGAGGCACCTCCTGCTTTCGGTCAATCGTCCGGATCTGGTCAAGGGTCTGGATGGAGGGGGAGAGACCCCCGTGCACGCAGAAGATCTACAGGGGAAAGCAAGGCAGGAGGGAAGGGAGGCTGAGGCCCAGTGCCTCTCCCACCTCTCCCACCCCGACACCCACGGAGCCCTGGGCAGCCTACCTTGCCATCAATGATGGCTGACAGGCTGAGGTAGTCAAAGATCTCAGTGCAGTAGCGCCACACGGTCACCGAGCCATATTTACGCAGGCACTCGTCATAGAAGCCATAGACCTGGGTGATCTGACGGCTCTCATGGTTGCCCCGGATCAGGGTGATTCGATCAGGATAGCGAACCTGAAAGTAACCACCAAGCTAGGGCTGGGGTCCAGGCCCTCTCCCTCCTCCATCTCCTCACATCTGTCAGCCCCACTCCATCCTCATCACCACCCTGGCCCAGATTCATGCCCTCTCTTGCCTGAATAGTGTTGCACCCACCTCATAGGCTCCCAGCCCTCCTTCAGAAAATACACCCCTCACCCCCCCGCTGGCACCCCATCAACTACACACCTAAAGGCTCCTCTTTCACCTCCCAGAGAGAGACCAAGACCAAGACCTTAGCAAGACATTCAAGGTGCTTTGTCATCTGGCCCCTTACAACCTCTCTCCCACCAGTGGATGTTGTATCCAGTTGAACTCAACTCCTTGTCCTTTTCTGAACAGACTGAGCCTCTATTCCCTCCCCTACAATGCCACCCCTCTGACCTCATCCTCCAGGGGCCCAATCAGGTGCCCCCAAGTCAAGGAAAGCTTCTGTGACCACCCTTGCCAAGCAGAATCTGTCATCACCAGCAGCACAGCTCAGAGTTGGGGGTGGATGGAGCAGGAGAGGAGGGCGGAAAGGATGCAGACAGGTCAGGCCTGAGGTGGCCCAGGTTTGGGCTCCAGAAGACAGCAGTCCCCACCTTAAGTGCCAGCAGCAGGAGGAACGTTTCAACGCTGTAGAAACCACGATCCACAAAGTCCCCCATGAAGAGGTAGTTGGTCTCAGGGACGTCGCCACCCACCTGGGGGGAGGGAGAAGGTCCTAAACTGTCCCCTACTCAGTCAAGTTGAAGCCCTTCTTTCACGAAGGGCCCACCTAACTAGAGGCCTCTTGCCCCCACTCCACTCACCAAATTCAAGCTTTCCCTCTCAAAGGGGCCTTCCAGTCACCCGCCAGGTCACCTTCCCCAGTGCTGACCCACACTCACTCTGAACAGCTCCTTGAGGTCATAGAATTGTCCATGGATGTCACCGCATACCTGGGAAGGGAGAGGTGTGTGGGAACTCACCATCGGAAAGCCTCTGCTCCCAGGGGATATCTCCCAATGATCACTCTTAGCTAAGCCTCTGCTTCTCGGCCCCAAACCTACTGTCCCACCCATTAGCCTGGTCTGCAATCCACCTCCGTCCCCCAGTGAATGCCAGCTATTCTCTGGGCAAGAGCTAGAGCCAGGTCTTTTCAGACCTGCAGCTCCTGGAGGACCTGGCCCCTGCTTTCCCTGCTCCCCTCAAGGTGCCCAGAATGAAGTCCTGACAACGAAGAACATGTAGAAACATGTGGAGTACAATCACTTACCAAACGGAGGGTCCTTCTGCCCTGGCCCAGTCTCTCTCCAACAAGTCAAAAGCCCCTTCCCACAACTTCCATTTCTTACAGCGAGGGGCCCTTGAAGATGGGGCTCCCAGGGAGGAGGGAGCCCACGAGACTACAGCGAATGTCTACATGCCTCCAACCACGCTGGCTTTGGAGGGACAGAGGGTACTCACTGTGACTGGCGAGTCCACCCTCTGCACGTTGCTCTCCTCTACCAGGATCTCCCTGCAGACAGAAGAACGGGGTCACCACAGCCAGGCCAGGCCAATTCCTAATTTTGGGGGGTGGGGGCGGGGGGAGGATATGCGGCAGTCCTTGAACCTCTACAGGGCAGGAGTGAGGTGCGCAATTTCCCCAGGAAAGGCTGACCACAGCCCTCACTGCTCAATACCCTCCCATGGTTCCCCCACGGCCAGCAAGCCAGAGCCCAAACTCCTGTTCTAGCTTCCAAAGCCTTTCCCCGGTAGGCTGTGACTTCCCCAGCCTTGACCTCCCACCCTCACCCTCCACCGCGTCCTCTCCTGCGTCCCGCACTCCCAGAAAACAGATCGCTGCACAGAGCCCTCTGCTCCCTGCACTGCGCGCTCAGCTGGAGTCCTTGGCGGAGCTCCTATGGCTCCTCTCTAACGCACAGGGACCTTCTCCCAGGCTGTCTAAAGGCACACGGGGCTCGCCCTGGGCAGGCCAGTCATCAAAGTGATCTTCAAAGTGATCTGTTGTTGCTTTTTTTCATTATTTAGTTAGAGGAAGTGAGGACTTCATTCTGTCATCTTTCCTTGCAATGCGTCTGACATAAGTGAGTGAGCATGACATAAAACCACTGTCAGGTTCAGACACCCGATTTTAGTACAACTTCCAGATTTCATCCTTGATGGTAATAGCAGCAGTGAACATTCCAGTTCACACCGTACGCCAGGACTCTAGTATGAGCTTTGCATGGATGGCGCATGCAATCAAACCACCACCCTCAACGGCAGGCACTGTGATGACTCCCACTTCTCAGATGAAGAAAATGGTTGAAGTCATACAGGTGGGACTTGAACCAAAGCACCTGACTCTAGACCAGGGGCGGGCAAACTACGGCCATTTGAAATGAATAAAACTATTGAAAAAAAAGGCCATACCGTTTTATGTAATGATGTTTACTTTGAATTTATATTAGTTCACACAAACACTCCATCCATGCTTTTGTTCCGGCCCTGTCCAGTTTAAGAACCCATTGTGGCCCTCGAATCAAAAAGTTTGCCCACGGCTGCTCTAGGGTCTGTGCGCTTTCATCAAGCCACTCTGACGTGGCCCAGGCCTTGCTCAGCCCTGACTCTGCCTGTCTCCTGGACTGGGTTCCTATAGGCCCCTCAGGGCACGCTGCATGACAAAGGCAGCTCCAAGGAGGTGTGCTTTGCTTTCTAGGAAAGGGAGGGAGAGGCCCTGGCTGCAGTCTGGGGGCCCTGCAGCAACCAGGATCTCCAACCTGTACTGCATCTTGTGTTGAACATCATTCCTCATCAACTGCTTATAACGACCTTTTCAACTGACTGGGGGAGCTTCTTTCCCTCCCCATCTGACAGGTAAAAAACCGAGGCTCACAGGAAAAAGGGGCAGGATCAAGGTCACAAAGCTGGTGTCTCAACTGGAACCCAGGAGCCCACTTCCTGAGAATTTATGCCAGCCTCTCCCGGGCTCGGGGTCAAAACTTCACCGCAGTGCCTGCCAGTAGGGCCCCAGCATGGTGTGGAACGGAGACCCAGCCTCTGGCCCCACCTCTGTCACCAGCAGCACATCACGGCCATCAGGGCTCGCACCTGCTCAGCTTTACGTCCACAGCTAGCACTGCCTTTCCAAGTGCTCACCAAGGGCCAGGGCCCGTCTCTGGCTATGAAGACTCTCATCTGAGTTTCATGATGATTTCAAATACTTGGAGAGGTCAAGTGACTTCACCGGGGTCATACTGTTCAGCGATGGAATTCGTACTGAAGACCGCCTGATGCAAAATGCCCTGCTCTTCAAATATGCTGACTTTCTAATAAGAGCAAGTCAGCTCACATACTTCAGGCCTCGGTAATTCCCAGGTCGAGTCTGTATACCCTCTGAGCAAGCCAACGCTCTCGACACTACCAGCCTTGGCTGGGTCACTGGTGGGCCCCCAGGAAGCCATGGCCAGGTGCTAGAATTGGCCTCCTTCACACTGGGCCTGAGATAACAGCGGCCAACTCGAGCCTCTCTAGTACCTCCTAGCTCTGGCTCAGTCTCAGCTGGACACGACCTCCACCCCTCCGTCCTCTGTAGCCTCTCATAGTCTAACTGTCTCTGTCTGGCTGCCCCTGAACATGGAGAGCAGTAAAAGACCTGGATGCAAAATCAACCTCCCCTCCAACCAGCAGTCAGACTGTGGGTAAGACATTATCTTCTCTAAGACTCATTTCTCTTCTCAAATACTCACTCCTGCCCTCCTATTCCGTAGGGCTGCTGCAAAACACAATGGTGACTGAATATATAACGTCTCTGTTATTCTGGAAACTCCACCATGCTTCCCAAGCTTTAGCTATCATCACCACCAAATTGATCCAGGTCCTACGGGGGCAGATAAGACATATGGGAAAAAGAATGGTGCCAGGCAGCAATTGGTTTAAGTTCCTAAAAATGCCATCAAGACAGAGGAAGCAGACAAAACATGGAAGAGCCACAAACAAGCATTTAAAAAGGGGCCTTGCCTGTTCACCAAACCCACACAGGCCCTGTCTGGGGGCTGGAGTGTCTGGGGTGGGAGGGAGTCAAGCAAAGAGCCACACGTTCAGCACCCAGCTCTGCCCCCCTCTCTCTGGGTGATCTTTAGTCAAGTCACTATGCCTCTAGGAGTCACAGCCTCGTTCTGTAAAATGGAGCAAACAATTCCAACCTCACAAGATTGCTGTGGGGAGGAAATGGATATACATTCTATGCCAGTACAAAGCCAGGCTAATAGTGCCTCTGCTATTCAGTAAATATAGGGTAATTCTGCTCTTTTCTCTCTCTGTTTTAAATAGATTTTTATTAATTTCAGAGAAGGAGGGAGAGGGAGATATAAACATCAATGAAGAGAAAGAATCACTGACTGGCTGGCTCCTGCACAACCCTTTCTGGGGATCAAGTCCTCAACCCAGGCATGTTCCCCACCCGGGAATGAAAACGTGACCTCCTGGTTCACAGGTTGATGCTCAGTCACTCAGCCACCGGCCAGGCCGGCTCTCTTCTCACAAGTCTCCAGCTTGGCGGAAGCCGCAGTCACACAGCACCTCAGAGGAGGCAGGGAACTGGTCTCCTCACTGCTGCCCACACACCTCAGGGCCTCAACCTTCCTCTCATCCTGCTGGGACGGCCGCCCTCCCTGGCCCTGCTCCCATCCGCTACCCTAATTATTTCCCTCTTTCAAGGCCACTTTCTGTTAGAAGCCCCCTGATGACTTCAGTCCGTACCGGCACTGCCATCTCCCCACACAGTAATAGCAGGGACACCTAAGGACTGTTGAGCACTCACGCTGCCCCAAAGCACTCTGCTAACTTCATCCCCAGCACCAGCTTTCTGACTCCTCCAGCCATCGTATTCAGTACTGTCATTCCCAACTTACAGATGAAAAAACAAAGCGTTCCGGAGACCTCGGGGACCACCAACACAGACAGTAAGTGGCAACGCTCAGATTCCAACCTACAGCCATGGCCTCCCAGAGGCCGGGATTTTAATCACTACGCGTTCCTGCTCCCACAGAACTCGAAGCCGGGCCTCCCTCGTGCCACGAATTCATGCTGAATTCTACTCTGGCCTATTTGCCGCCACGTCTCAGGCTCCCACCCTGCACACGAGAGGACCCCGCTCACTCCACCTCGCGTCCTGGCCTGAAAAGAACAGGACCCGAGGACTGGCTCAGGCTGCCTCCCTCCCTCGCTGGGCTGGCTCTGAACAGGAGCCCTCATCTGTCAAAGGGGGGCAACATGCCCAGCCTCCGGGGTTGCTGCTGGACCCTAAAGTATGTTACAAACCAGGGTCTTTAGCGACCCTGCCCTGCACTTCGGTTCTGGCTGACGTTCCTGCGTGTCCGCTTCCTCTGCGAGGCCCACCCGAAAAGGTCAGTCCCCCCGGCACATAGTAGGGGCGCTTCCCTGCGCGTCCCCCGTACTTTCTGTCACTCGCCGCCTCACTGAACACATCCCCCCACACTTCAAGTCTCTGTCCAGGCCTGCCTTCCCCGCGGGCTGCTCGGGCACCGGCCTCCGTCCGCTCCCCCCCGGGAGCGTTTCCAGGACGAGCCAGGCCCACGTTCCGGCCGGGGCCGCGGGCCTCCCGCGCCGGGGCTCACCGGGCCTTGGCGCACAGGGCCTTGACTTCGCTCTCCTTGATGAGCTCGCAGCGCCGCAGCTGCTCGATCTGCCGGTCCAGGTCGCTGATCTCCGCCATGGCCCACCCCGGCGGGG